AATCCTGGCTCCGCAGGAAAGGAAAATGCTTTGAGTCTTAATGCTAGTAGCAGTGTTCAATAAGAGGGAGCAGAAATAGTGAGGGTGGATAGAAAGACAGAGAGGGTCGTTTAGAAGGGGTTCAAGGGTCAAAAGAAGACATCTAGGGGCCCACCGAACCTGCGGATCGGGGTTAGGGTTCGTAAGGAAATTCAGGGTCTCGTGTCGGAATGGCAACAGTTCAGTTGTAACAGAACATGTGGTGAGATCCAAGCTTTTGATCGCCGTGCTCAAGGCTGGCTGCGAAGAGATGCCTTGTGCCACATGTGTTTTTCAGCTTGCAAGTGCATGCTTCAAGCCGTAGCTCAATCAGTACGAATGCTAAGCATGTTCGCTGAGAGCTGTATACGTACTTTGTTGGTTGTGGAAGGAAAAATCAATTCGTGCGAGAGTGCTGCCATGGAGCTGTGAGAGCCAACTGCTGGTTTTTCGCTTGTTAGGCTGAAGGCCTCTCGGTTTTTCGAGTTCGAGTTAACCTTAACCCTAACCTGCGGACCGGGGTTGGGGTTCAGGTAAACCCCAACCCCAACCAGCGGACCGGGTTTGGGTTCGGGTCAGCCCCAACCCTCACCTGCAGACCGGGTTTGGGGTTCGGGTTTTCCCCAAGTTCAACCCAACCTCAACTTGAGGTTCACGTTGGGTTGCACAGAACCCGAACTGAGGTTGGGGTTGTTGGCCCCCCCCCGGCTGGGAACGAGGTTGTAACAAAGTTCGACCCCACTCAACCCACCTGCGGGGTATGCTCCACAACAGGCCCGCGAGTTGCCAGGAAGCACACAGTTGGCTGCTGACAGGAAGCGTTGCAACTGCTGGAGGCCGTCTAAAGGCTCTTTGCAAGCACCTTAGAACCCCATAGATTCTTGAGCTAATTCAACCCTGACCTAGGTTGAGGTTCAGCTAGTTGCAACTTTTTGGGGCAAAGGCTGTAACTTAAATTGCAACAAGCCTGTTGTGTGCAAGTGAAAGAGAATTTCTGGTTGCTTGCCGTGAACACTTGCCCGCCTCTCTGGGAGCCACGGTTTGACAAGAGGAGTTGTCCATTAGTGCATGCTTGTCTTGATTTGTTCTTGCTGCCATGGTTAAGAACAACCTTAACAAGGTTCTCTTGGCCGTCGACGAGTTGTGACCACCAATGCATCTCTGGTAAAAGAGCTGTTCTTTGCCTTTGTGTTGTTTTCTTGTGCAGAATTTCCTTGGACTTTGACCTGAAAACGCCCGGTTTTGCGCAGTCAAAAGTGCAGCAGAAGATTTTTTGCAATCACCACAAGGTGAGAATTTGGATGTTTTTTCTGCGAACAGGGCCATTAATCGACAGTGTGCACAACGCTCGAAAACGTGAATTTTCGTTGCGTCTTGGTTGCGTTTTCGCATTGAACGAGAAGACGGATGAACCCTCGTCGTTCTGCTTCTACAGCTCTAATTGCTCCTAAGCACAAGCCTCCACCCGCTTCTCCGGAACCGCGTTGTGGTTTTTTGAAAATCGATGTTTGGCTTCATGTTTCTTGGTGAAATCGAGCACGCTTTGGAAGTGTTTCGTTTCAGTTTTTTAAGAATGGCTTGAGCATTTGCCAATAAAAGATGGAGTGCAGGATGGAAGAGGGTCGAGGAGGGAGAGAAAGGGGCGCTGAAGGAAGAAAGGCTGCGTGGCTTCGAAAATGAGACTGAAGGCTTCGAAGGCTTCGAAGGTGAGGACGACGGGGTTCCAAAGGTTTGAAGGGAAGAACGCAAAGAAAAACATTTTTTTGCGTGGTGGAACACTTGCAACATCTTGGCTTGCTGCTAAAACTTTTCACCCGCCCACGACAAGCAAGATCTTCTCATTTTGGCGCTGTGTGATTGCTGCCCGATATTTTTTTTAAAGGCTGGAAGTATGGGCTCCGAATATGGACCCCTGGGCCTTTCTAGGGACCCTTAAGGGTACATAAAGATCCCAGGGTTAAGGGCCCATACTGGGGGCCCATGGTTTCAAACATAGAGTTTTGCTTCTTCACGCTTTCTCCTTCCATGCTTTTCGCTTTGCTATGCTTTCCTGCTCTGCTTTCCGCACGGCACGGACTTTTGGCCAACGACTGCACTGCACAGCAGCTTGCTTTGAGACTCGGTTTGACCAAAATTCGAACCGGTTCGACTTTGTAGCTGCAGTCGTTTCTCCGGCAAGCCCGAAACAAAAACCTGAGCGAGCGTATCCTTTGTCGAGCTTGTTTAGTCTTCTTGCAATCTTGTGTTGACTCGCTTTGCTTACACACTAGAGCCGCTGGAAGGCTGTTCCATTAGAGAGAGCATTGCAATTCCCGTTCGGAAAAGATCTGACAGTTGTCATTTGTCAACTGTTTAAGGTTCTTCCAGGTGGACCAGACCTTGAGAAAAATTGTAGTTTATTTCCAACAGTGCGAACATTCACAATGGTTGTTTTGCATAAGAGCAATAAAACGCGAGGTTTGTCCAAAAACCCAACGGTGCGCAGCACAGCTACCCAGCAATGTGCATACCATCGATAAGTCCAAGGTTTCGGCACTCCGAAGTTAATTTCTACTTGTTTGATATTCCTTAACGCAATTCGGCCATGTGCTTTGTTTGGTTTGTGAACTTCAGCCATACCAACACGATGTTGTTTTAATTCAACCAGCAAGCGCTTGTGCAAGCTGCGGGACACGCTCAGCTGTCAAGGGTGCGACGTTGAGCCGCAGCTGAGCCATGGCGGCAGCAAGCGATGATCTCCGCTTTCAACAGTTGGAGGCCATGGGTTGTTAATGTGTGATTCTGTTCAGCGGCACATGTTCGTGCTTTCGTAGAACTTGTGAGGTACTGATCTCCAGAAGAGCAAGCATGTTTCTTCACAAGCATTGCGGCTCACACGAACTGAGGTGGCTGCGGTGTTGAAGGCTAAGCTAGATGTCATAAGTACAGTTTGTCGTGGGGACTGTTTGAGCCAAACATCAGTATTTGGTATTTTGTTGCTTGGAGCGGGCTGTCAGTCGAGTGGGTTACACTTGTGTTGAGTTCAGGCCAGGCTGTGTTCGGAGGCCCCCGAAGGCCCAGGTTTCGGTTTACGGCTTTAAATCCTCGGAGGGTTTAAGATTTACGGTTTTGGGTTTGGGTGTTGGCCGACTCACCCTTCACGCACAGCAGGCGCGGTTGACCCGCGTGGAAGCAGCACTGCGTCGCTTGAAGAACATTATTTGTCATGCTTGTGATTGTGGGACGAATGTGGGTTCCGGTCCTTGGGCATTCTTTGGAATGCTGGCCGGTTCAGAGGGAGATCGTGAAACTTTCAGTCGATAAGGGTTCACAACAGTGCTAAATTTGTCCGCTGGGAACATGTGACTGAATGTATTCTTAGGGGATCAGCGGCTTTCATAAATACCGATAAGACCCAACTGTATCCCAAAAGCATCAAGATGCACAAACCGCAAACCTTAAGTCAAAATTAAGTCAACACCACAAGCCTCAAAACTCGAGGCTCCAACTCCTTCAAAACGCCTTCTGGGGGCTCCCTGTGAACGAGGTAGTACCAACAATGTAACTTGTTCGGGGTCTCTGCTTGTGATGAGCGAAGGTCGTGGAGGCAGATTAGAACGTTCACCTTGCTTGTTTATCTTTTTCTTTTGAGCCCGTTTTCGGCCCAGGCAGCTTGGACCTGCCGCAGCAGTCAGCGGGCGAGCTGGGGACGAAGTTTATTGGAAGATACCAGGATCGCATTGGTTTCGTCTTTCATGCGTTGCAAGCCATTTGATGTGGTTCCTTGTTAAGTGTAGACAAACATGTCGGAAGGATGGCGAGAGCGTTTCTTCCGGTGAGCATTTGGTCTCACAGTCGGAAGTCTTCGAGACAGCGGTCTTTACTTCGACAGGCGATGAGATGCTTAGTCTGCCCGAAAGGTTTTAGCGACTGAAGAGTTGGGTTTTGCCGCTGTAGGGCCTCACAAGCCTCATTCGTTTGACGGGTTCTTGTGGTACTTTACATGTTGCGTGTAGCTTTTGACTAAGGGTTGTTGCCAGGGTTTCCCAAGTCAAACGTGTGATGAGCTTTTCAACATATTATGTGTCTGTGTGCGAGGGCGGGTGCCTCTGCAACTTAGGATGCGTGCTGGCATCGTGACACCTGGTCCATGCTACGAGCTACAGCACTCGGTGTGGGATGCTTGTTTGTGTATTGGCCTCCCGGCACTAAGCAAATGGGACTCTTTCATTGCGACCCTTCTGGTTCTACTGAACATAGCCACCCAGATGGGTTTTGTCGCTGTTGTTCAAATGCACATGCTGGAAGATGTCCTCAAGCCGGATCAGCTAAATCAGCTGCTCCGATTCAGGGCCGATGTTGCCCACGATGTGAAGTATGCAGACTTGGGCGGAGGTCGTTCCCTGGCACGGCGTGTTTGCAGTCAAGACGATTCATTGCAGTTGGCAAACGCCCAAACCGGGCTAGTCACTGATCTGTACAACTACAGCACCATCGGTCCAGTTCTAGCACTGCTGGCCATCGGATGCTGGCTCATGACCACATTGAGGGAGATGTTTGACATCATTAGTTTCATTGGTGCCGTTCAAACATACCCTGTAGGTGAGACGACGCAGTTGTCGACGGAGGTTGGCGAAGAAGATGCTGTTGAGAAGGCGGCCACGATCTCAGAAATCTCGCACAGCAGGAAGGACATGCTGTTTGCTCTTGTGATCGTGCCACGTTTCGTGGTCGCTGCTGTACTCATGGTAACGGGCACGAGGTATCTTGCAAATACACTCAGCTTGTCGGACCTGATCTTGAACGCCGTTGCGTTGGCTTTCATATTTGATTTGGACGAGTTGATCGAGTCTGCTTTTATGCCACGGCTGGCCCGCTTCCTACTGGATAAGCTGAGCACACTTCCGATTTCTCAGCCGCGAATTCCGGGATTGGGGCATGTCAATGCCGGACTGCTGGATCGTGCACGGAACTTTATCAAACTCGCTTTGCTGCTGGTTGGCCTACTGCTGTCGTGGTACTTGCTTCTACAACCCCTGCAGAGCACGACACAGTTGGCTCTCAACATACTCTGCAGCGGCAGGCAGGACTTCATCTATGCTGTAAACGCGGCCACTGGGATCATCGAGGCTGTACCAACATTTTCTGAAGAGGCGCCACTGACATTCAGCACCGAACAGAGGAGCGTGCTCGAGCTGGCGAAGCTTGATCTATACCATATGGAAGGCTTATATCCAGAAGCTATGAGCATGGGGCAGATAAGAGACTTTGACGACACACCTGTATTGCAGAAAATCCAGCAGGTGCTCCTGCTGGAGCGGAGCGACGTTGCAGCTGCAGCAGACAACTTACCATGCACTGACTGCCTTTGCTGAACATCTCGTGAGACCGCGGCTGCGCAGTATTACAGATAACCGAGTAGACAGCTGCACCGCCCTTGCTTTGCAAAACGATCTTTGCGCAAAGTACAACCTGAGCAGCGTGCGCGCGCTCTGCCCTCAGACCTGCGGTTGCGACGATCCCCTGGAGCCAGCAGCAGGCGCTTTTGCTACGGTGCCCTTTGGCTGCCCCAAGAGGTGCAGCCCTGTTAGGGACAACTCACCGAGGCTGCGCCGTGCACCCTGCGAGGATTGGACGGTGAAGGACCTCGTGGAGAGCGAATATGTGAAACGATATCTGACAGGTGCCTTCAGCATCAACTTCATCTCTGATGAGACGCTGTCTGCATCAGTCCTGCTATACACCGAGACAATGAAGCACCGGTTTTTCCATCTTCTTCCAGGCCCCAATAAGACGGAGTCCTTGCAAAAGGCGGGCGAGTACTATGCCTCTGGTGGATGGCATCGTGACGTGATCGCCGGAAAATTCGAGCTTGGTTTGGGGATTCCTCATCCGCGAGGCTTGAAAGGCTGTCCTTTCCTAAACTCTCGCGAGGTGGTGGAGCTGGCCGGTGGCAGCATCTGCACTCCAAGAGCGGAGCTCGACATGTTCGCTTCGCTTCGACCACAATGTCCGGTGACTTGTGGCTGCCATGCAAATCAGCAGGAATGTCCTGGAACCTGCCCGTTGTTTTGAGGAGTGAAAATTGTCCTTATTCCTCAGACGCAGTCGAAGCAGTCGGTGCTGTCTGTCACCAGGATTGTGTTTCACGCGTAGAGGCATGTAGCAAGATGTGATCAAGCGATTTTGCCGTGCTTTCCGCTGTGTGGGGCTTTCAGAGGGGAGGCCTGGGACAAGTTCCTGAACTCCTGGGGTGCGGCTCTGAGCTGACGTTTTGTCGTTTGCCTGCCACGTTTCTGGTGTCGCTGAGAACGGCCCGCTCTCTGCATCCAAGGCCATGACAGAGAAAGGCTTTCGGATAGCTTCGCAGGCAACATGGTTTGCGCAAGAGTGGCGACGGGGGTTCGCGCGAGAGTTTTTGCTCTGGGCAGTGCTAAATTCCGTGAGACCTGTGATTGGTTCTCTGTCTCGCATCATAATCTTGAGGTGAGAATCCTCTGATAGTTGTTTGAAACTGCCCGGGCGCACTTGGCAGTCTAAGGCACACTTCACAGACAGTACATGTTTCGACAACTCGTTGTCAGGTCAACAAGGAAGGATGGGAAAAGGCCCAGTCCGCGCCTTGATCTTCGTGTCATTGCTGACAGGGACAATGTTGACCACAGACCTCATTATCGACATCACCATCGGGTACCTCGTCAGGTCTTTTCGGAAACAGCTGTTCAGTGCCAAGGTTCCCAATCCTCTGTGAAACATGCCTGGGAGACAATCCGTATGTACCCGACTCAGCCCTGCAGTGCACGGCGGTGTCTCCCAGGAACCTGCAGCAAGCACATCGTATTCTTTTCACGCCTTGCAGTGCTTGTTTGGCAGGTTCGAATGCAGAAGGAGGATTACGGTGTTGAGTGCAAGATTTGCGCAGGAACCTTACTCGGACTCCTGGTGCTGCAGCAAAGAGTATGCGCAAAATTCTTGAGGCCCGGCCTTTCACGATCTTCAGATGGAAAGCTGGCACGCAAGGTCGATACAAGGCCAGTCTTTCAGATGTGTTCGGGGGAGGAAGATGCCGGGGTCTTTTCCGTGGCAGGCCACGGTAGTGTGTCCTGGACTCGGGAAGACTGGAGTGTCTCTGGCGTGCTCTGTGATTTGGCCTCGGAGCGATTTGAGCCGCGCTGAGGTCAAAGCTGCGCAAAGGTCAAGAATGTGTGTCAGTCGGCATCTTACAATAGTGAATGTTGCTGAGTCATAGGAGCCTACAGCTCTGGTTTGGGTTCTGGCACATACCGGTCCATCTGAAAAGTTGCAGTGCCGTCAGTGCGTCAGAGAAGCGAGTGGGATTGTTTATATCCGCCATGCACCCAAAGCCAGCCGAATGCTTCCGATCTGCGACGTGCTTCTGTTAGCGCATGCCTGCAAGATTTGAGGACATGCTTGTTTGATCTGGAGTATGGCCTCCCCGTGCAAGTGAGAGACAAGTTTATGGAGGAGCCGACAGCACTTTCGCAACTGAAAGCAGTTTCAGTTGCTCAAAGTTTCCTTGAAGGTCCATCCGACTAAAACCTCGAGCTCCCAAGCCTTTGTCTCACCAACCAAATGTCCTGAACAGCTCAATGTCAGCAGGAGCTCGGCGCAAACAAGGTTTCGTTGCCGCACTCTCGAGTGGGCCTGGCACTTGGAACCGATTGTTCGCCGGACCCTCCTTTCGTCCCGTCGGGCCTTCACAGTGCGTGGAAGACTTGTGGACACGCTTGACCTTCCGAAGTTGCATACCAGGCAGAGATTATCAGCTGCAGAATGCGCAGAAGGATCCAGATGGTGAGGACATTGGGTTGAGTTTGTATGTCAGAGATGTTTCGTCATGTTGATAATATCAAACTGATGTCAGAAAGCACTGGCTGGCAAGCAGGATCTGCCTTATGGCAAGGTGGGTGCACATCCGATGCTGCAGAGGTGCACGTCCAACTTCGGGCAGAGGGGGGTCTGAGGGGGTGTGCCTGCCACAATACAACTCCCCAGCCCCCAGAACTGTATTTCAGAGGGGGTCGTTCTTATCGGGCATCGGCTAGTTTTGGCATGAGTTTCCGACGATAGAGTACTACTGGATGCGAGAGTGGCAGCTGTCGCCAGGCAAAATCTCAATGAATTCCGGGATCCCCCCGCCCCTCCCCGCAATACATTTCCCCAGGCCCCCAGAATCTACGGGTACGTGGCACTCCATGGTGTAGAATCTAAAGGTAAGTCTGGAGCCAGGTAATTCCCCGGCCCTGGAATCCCCTATTATGTGGCAGTCCATGGTGTGGGATTAGAGGTAAGTCTGGGCCAGGACCACTGGCTGGAGTCGAGAGCTGAACCTAGGGTAGAGACAGGCTTGGGAAGCTTGAGATCCAGACCCTCCCGAATCCACGCGTGATGCATTTCTTGTGCCTGGTGTCCCTCCAGGGTTTTATTGTATTTTTCGAGGGGTGGCCTCCAACATAGCATTTGGGGCCGGGTGTACTTCGGGCAAAGGTGTGAAAGGCTGTGTGGCTGTTTTTACACGCTTCATGAATCAAGGTGTCTCTGTGCATTCTTCTAAAGCGACATGCAAGGAGCTTCAGCATCATGGTTCGTTCCGAATCACAAATGCCCGCGCGTGAGAAGAGCTGCCAGGCTGGCACGAATGACCCCATACTACAAGCGAAACGAGGCGCTGTAGCGAGATGCATACACGCAAGAGAGTGGCCAGTGGCCACAGGTCCTAAGTCGCACAGTTGGTAGTGCGAAGCTCACGGATCCTCCGGCAAGAGAGTGAAACACCCGCTGTAAGGCGAGAATATGCACCTTCTACGTGAAGGGTGCCTGCAATAGAGGCCTGTGCATGCTCTGAGAATCTCTTGAGCTGACTCCACCCGCAGCTGTGATTTCCAGGTGCGGATTGCCCCTTCAGGCACGAGCTCCCGCAAGGCGGTGACCTAGCCAATCAGAAACTGCGCGGATCCTACAGGAGGAGGCTGGCACTGTTAGAGTAGTGAAGTGCTGTATGCCAAAGGCGAGATCGTTTCCATGGGGAGAACGACCCCTTGGCAAACAAGATCATCCGTAGAGCAGAGGAGGCCGGCGCTTGATCCTGAGAGAAAGTTGACACTCTACAGGCCCGTGGAATCCTCAGTATCCAGACCCTTATCCAAGAATGGAAAGTAGTATGGGCCGTGAGAACAGCGCTCGTTGGCTTGCCGGTTCCACATGTAGCTACAAAGCTGAAGCCACTCTGGGTTTCGTGCTTCAATTGTCCTGAAATCCTGAGCCTTCTCTCGAATGGCATCAATGGAAAAGCAGGGAAGCTCGTACAGATGGCCCACTCCTGGCAAAGACGTACAGAATCATGAGGGAATGTCAAGGCTCATTTCCTCGAGGGTGAATGTGGGAGTGTCGAGAAAGAATTCTTCTTGCGGTGTGTGTCTCCCTTTCTCTCTGTCTCTCTGGCTGTCTCTCTACCTCTCGCTGGCTCTCTCTCGCTCTCTCGCTCTCCCTCTGCACCTCTCCCTCTGCTCTCGTGTGATTCTAGGATCCAGGAACAGATTACGTCCACTTTGTTTGCATTGGTGTTCTGCAAAGACGACGCAGGACCTGACATTAATGCCGCCGGAGGACAAGGCGGTGACGACGCGGGGACCTTAACAATCTTGTTGATTCTGTCTCTGCCTGGAATATCTTTCGTGTGGCAGCAGACTGACAGACTTCTTTTGATCTTTTGATGTGAGGCTTTATCTTGGCGGACTACCACCTGGAGCCAAGGAGAAGGCTCGAGCTCTGTCGTGGATAACCAAAACCTTAGGAACCTCGGTTAAGCCGCATGGTTTGCAGCGATTGGAGCTATGCTTTGGAGGGTTTCGCGTTTGGAGAGAAAAAAGACAAGCCCATCCAAGCCTGGAGCCGCACGGGCATTTCTAGGAACTAGTCACTAGCCGGAGCCGTGTGAATCAGAAGATCGTCCAGGACATCCGAAATCAGTTCTACGTTTTTGGAGAGCTTGGGCCCCAGGCTCATGCCAGTCTCTACAGCAGGTTGCTTCGTCTACTTTGCAGCTATGCCTCCGGTCAGTAGTCTGGTGTGTATGTTCTCCCAGAAGCCACTTTCCATGCTACTGCCGGACAAGGATTCGCAGCATCAGGATGGCACCGAAGCAGAGCTGTGCCTTCGTCACCTTCGTGAAGCGAGAGGTGCTTTCAATGGTGGTCGGGGGACACTGCTGGCCGAGAGGGTCCCATAAGATGATGATGGTGCCGCAAGCGAAGGTGGCAGAGCAGGCTGCCAAAAACACACACAAGATCCTCAAGATCAACGCGTCGGCCTAAGCATTCCTGCTTACCCGCCAGCAGTGCTTCCTGAACTTGCCATTTGGGTTGCATGACGAGGGGAAGAATGTCAACGTGACTTGGGGCCGACCACAGGCCAGGCTCGGGAGCTTTCATTTCCGCTGAGAGATCGGTTGTCATGAAGAATTGCCGTGCAGGTCACAGGTTTGAGGAACGGCTAAAGCCAGTCTTGGTGGTAGTTGCAACGGATCATTAGAGACTAGTCTGCGCAAGGCAAAGGCGAAATTTTTTGTGCCAAGGGGGATTTGAAGTGGTGGCTGGGCGTGTCACGGTGGATTGTGTTTGAGGTGTCCAAGGAGAAAGAGGCATCTGCAGCAGTGGCCGCGGGGCAGTTGCCCTAGCAATTTCTCCTGTGCCGTTGTCTTGAGGATTTCTGTGTACCCATGCAGCGCTGCTGCCGGGAACTTTTCTTGTTGTAGGTCGGCGCCGCCAGCGGCTGGCAACACGCACCGCCCTTACAGAGCACAATGGTGGATCTGGAGGGCATCCTCAGCTGGGTTGATGCTCAGGTACAAGCCGTACTATCCGTCCATGGACCCATCAGCACAGGGCAACGCGCCCTTACAGGGCGAGGCTGGGTTTTCTTTTGTCGGGTGGCTCTGCCATATGAGCAGCCCCAAATCGTTTGTCTCAGGCACCAGATGAGCGCTCCATTCCGAAATGAGCAGCCGGGTCCAACGGGCTGTAGTGAATGTCAATGCACCTGCGACAGGGCCCAACAACTGTCCCACAAGCCTTATCGCTCACTCAGACACCTGTCGACAGAGTTCAGGAAAGCCAGAAGCCGCAGGATCTCACCTCAAATTCGCAGATAAAGCTTTGGCTGGAGCTGTTCTCGTCCAGGGCAGTTGGGAGCGGGTTCGAGATAGCCTAACGACATATGCTCGCATATCGCCTTGCTGATACATCAGGCATGCGTCCCCTGTCTCCACAATAGCTCATCACATCAGGAAAAGAGGAGAAGCTAAATATTTTGATTTCATTTCGATCTCTCGTTTTCTGCCAGCCTTTTATCCAGCACGAAAAGTCACAAAATAAATTATCTCGAGTTGTTTTGAAATCTATGATGAGAACCATCTCTAGAGACTGAGAAGATGATTTCATGTTGTAATGCGAAGGATTTTCCATGGAGATGTTGGATGGTTGGACGGTGTCATACAACGATGCTCATATGATATCGATATCGATAGAATTCCGCCCCGGTTCGGGGTTTTGGTCTGTTCTAAGTCTCTGCGACCCTCTGGGGTGTGGTGCGGTTAGGGGTTTGGGTCTGCTCTCAGTCCCTCCGCTCCTTTGTGATGGGGTGTGGTTCACGACTTGGGTCGCCCCGGGTGCTTCGAAATCGTTATCATTATCATCATTATCGTCATCACCATCATCATCATCGTTAATATGAATGGAATTGGAGGGGTGAGGGCATTGGTGGCGGATAAGGGCAAGTCGAAGAGAAATTTTCTTATCGAATCGATATTGATATATAACTAGATATATTCGTCTATGGAATCGGCGGGTTTTCTGTAGTTTATTTATATAATATCATTACAAACAAATTCTCTCATAGAACGGTGTCGTGCTGGTCGCCTCCGTTTTTTTGTGTGGGCCCCTGGCCCCTGTATTCTCGTCGTTTGGCGCGCTTCCTCTTGAAAACCTCTTACGTGCCTGTCTCGCGAAACCAAAATTTGGAAATTGTTCCCGGTACTAAAAATTTCCGAAATTTCAGTAGCTTTGGGAAATCGCGCGTTTTTTTTTTTCAGAATTTTTGGTAGCTTTAGGGGGACAGGCTCCCGAAAATAAAAGTTCGGATATGTGTGCGATAATAAAATTTCCGAAATTTTTGTATCGCGAGCTCCGGTGTTGTGCTTTCTGAATGCAGGTGTCTCTATGTGTCTGTATGAGTGTCTGTGTGTGTGTGTGCCTTGTGTCTCTGTCTGTTTGTGTATGTGTGTTTCTGAGTGTGTATTCGTGTCTGTGTGTCTATTTGTGCGTCCTTCTGTGTGCGCGTCTCCATGTGCGATCATGTGCGTCTGTGCGTCTATGTTTGTCTCTGTGTATCTGTGCATCTGTCGTGCGTTTATCTATTTATCTATCTTTGTGTCTGTTTGTGCATCTGTTTGTATATCTCTCTGCGCGGTTCTTTATATATCTGTCTGGGCGTATATCTGGTCTATGCATCTGATTGGTTGCCTCTATACGCGTTAATCTATGCTTCTTTTACATCTATCTGATTATGAGGATCTAATCTATCTATCTATCTACTTGATTAGATTTTAATTATCTATTTTTCTATTTCATACAATTTCAATAAAATAAATTAGAGGTAAATTTTAATATTCTTTTATTCATGCTTATAAATTTCTTATTTTTTCATTTTTTATCATTATATAATTAATCTTTTCAATTAGAAAAAAATTGAATTATTTTTCGCAATAATTATTTTTCAAGAAAGAGAGAGAGGAGAAGAGATGATTTTCTCTTTCGATTATTCTTTATTTTATATTTTCATATAATATTTTATAAATTGAATTTTGAATATTCTTATTTAATAAAATATATTATATTTATCTATTAATTTCTATTACGATTTCGTCTATTATTTTACGAAATTCTTGATATAT